GTAAAGTTGATATACTGGGTTTTTTTAAGTCTCCAATTCCTCTTTTGTCATTTTTAACTTAGTCTCTAATTCTTTAACTCTTGTATTGAGACTTTCGACTTTGAATCTTGATATATTATAGAAACATACATTATTTGAATTTGAATTTGGAGAAGTAGATTGTAAAGATAATAATATTACAGTTGTGCAAGATGATGAAATTAATTGTGTTGGAAAGATATCAGGCTGCTTAGTAACTAACGAAGGGTCAAGACAGTCAGGGCTAATTGTGCTAGAATTAAAGGGCCAAATCCTAGTTGCCTTGAAAGCATTGCAAATTGCCAAAAGTGTGTAAGTTTTAATGTATGCTGAACCAAAAACCTTGGCGAATGTGTATTTAGTTATGAATTCTCTGTTATTACTAATGCGAAGTTGCTTATATCCTTTGTTGTATGCTTCTTTAAGCTATGCAAAAGAAAGTTCAGCTGGTTGAAGTATATGGGTGATGTGAGGTAGGAGCATGTATAGAAGGATATTATTATTGTAATAAATGTTAACATTGGTATAGCTAATATGACTTTTATGCTCATCAAGAATCAGAAGAACAGGACAAGCAGGTAGAATTGAGTGAATGAAATTTTCAATATATTTCAAAAAAAAAACTCTTGCGTGTATCCTGTTTCCATGAATCCTATAACAGAACTAAAAGGAGCACCATCCAAAAGGCCTGGAATTATATACTTTTTTTTGTAAATAATGAGTGGTAAGATGTATGTTCTGCTAGCAGAGATAGTTAGATACACAGAAATATGCTTATTAGAATTTCTATAAGAAACTTGGTGGACCTGTTATTAGAATGGTAATTAGAAGAAAATTAATATTTTCATTATTATTTTTATTTATTTTATTTTATTTTTATTTATTTTAAATACTGCTAACAAAATTTATTATTACTTGCTATGCACTCTTTTTTGCAATAACTTTACTAAGTTCAGAATTGAGAACAAAACCTGTTTTATCCATGTTCCAGATTCTATCAGTAGTAAGCAAATATTCTTTGATAATTTCCTTAAGCTTTCTAAAATAATCTTGCATTATAATAGGATTGGCTCTTTGTGCTCGTGCTTCATTTAAGGCCTAAGGAGCACAAAATAAAAGCTTAGAATGGTTCCTTATAAAACACGCCCACCATGACTTGCCTGGTCCACTCTCATTAAAAGGATGTTGCTTTTTACTTTTATTGATGATTTCCATAACACAATGATTCACACCTAACCTTGTTAGTCCAAAGCCAAGTTTTTGCATGTTAAGACAATAACTGACTAGTTGTTGTTCTTCATAGTTGGTTAAAACATTGGCAGAACCTGGACGATCTAAAGGACCCTGATTTTTTATAGCATGTCTCAGGGTTGCTTCAGAAATGTTAAATTTTTTTGCTATTTTTCTTTTAGAATCAGTTAGAGAATTTTCAAACTCTTTAAGAGCACTTTCAATAGCTTGGTTTCACTTATATCGATCACTAGATAAAGACATGCTGATTTACTTTTAAGTATAGATTTATTTTAAGACTGATTTAAGGTTGATTTGATTTATTTAAGTGCAGTTTTAAGGAAAATTAGACTTATTGAAGTATAAATTAAGTTAAGTCCATCTATTTATAATATATTATTATTATTATTATTTGTTTATAAACGTGTTACTATGGTAATTAAACTTTATTATTAACAAATATGTGAATAATTTTTTAGGTGACTAGTTCTGTAAGTGCCATCACATGTATTATTAAAACATAGTGTCCATGTCCATGCCCAGTACTATGTTTTAATAGTATGTGTGATGGTACTTGTGGAGGAACCAAACATCTAACCATGTGCATTTAGAAAACAATAAGTAAATATGCATTTATGGGAGCTTATTTTGGGCCAAATTTGAGAACGCATTTAGAGAGCACATTTGAGTGTCGCCAAGCGAAAACCAGGAATTGCGAGTTTTCCAAAATTAATCTTATAGATCAAACCCCGAAAAATATGATTTAACACACTACATAAAAATGTTGTGCTTAATTCAATTTATCAGGAATCGGATCAGAAAGCGGAGCCGGCAAAAATCAAAATTGCAGGTCTTTGCTTGGCGGCACTCATTTAATGAAGCCTCTGTATTACTGTATTGTTGGGCTTTTAAGATCCACGGTCTGCAGTAAACTTACTTGTATTTAAAGTACCTCAAATTAAAATGTTGGTCTCATAATTTAGTAAAATATTTTGAAGATTGAGTGCATTTTAATTGTATTCTTGCCACGTTATAATAACTTAATAAAGAAATAAATTGATTATTTAAATTTATATAATAAAAAAAAAATGTAAAAAGATACATAAATTTGTGCCATGAACTTAGATTAAACCTGATTAAACTTTATTAGTTAATGTATTCAAGACCATTTACATTATTTATATATCACTTTTACATGTATTGTTATTATGCTTCGCTAGAACTTTAAAGAAAAAACTTCACAATATGATATTCGAATAGAGATATCTTGCGATCCGATAATCTGAGTTACATGGTTTTGATACATTCGACTTGTCTCACCAAGACGAACCAAAATCGGTTGATTCTGGCCAGTGGATCACGAGTTATGCCGGGTGCGTCATAATTGGTCCTGCGTCATAATACCCCCTTTTACCTTATAATTTAGTTTTTGTAATTAATTTTTTTATACTGTAATTAATTTTTTTTCATAATCGGTTATATATTAAACCGTCAGGGTAGAATCGAACCAGGCGCATCATTTAACATCCCTATGTGCAATTGCCCGGGTAATCCGGCATACATCAGACTTTACGAGGCGGTATTAGAAGATAAAATAAGTATAATAATAATTTTATTTGTTGATACTTCAATGCAAGTTATAATACCTTGAACTTGTTCAATTAAAAAAAAAAAACTTTACAAAATAAGTGTATTGTATACTACAGTACTATGCATTTCGAAATATTGATAAATATTAATACGAGTTCTTAAAAATGCTTTCCAATGAGACTTTCATTTTTTCCAGCAAAGTGTAACTCTTAGTCGTTTATGCAACAAAAATCATTTTTTGCTATCCTCGTAAAGAGCATGTTTAAAGTTATTACAAAAATTTCGGAATGAACACTTTTGTTAATATGTAAAAATCAATTTGTTTATTCCATTTGAATGAGGATATCATTCCTATTATGAATTCGAATATAATTCGAATTGATTACAATATTATAATTACATATATATATTGAAACAATTTCAGAATTGTCTTTTAAAATTAGATTATCTGGTATTAAAATGTATTGATTATGTGTATCGATATCAGCACCAACACAAATTTACATGTGCTGACATCTTTGAAGCGGAAATATGATTAGCGTATTTGAACGTACGTAAGAAGCGCAGCTTCTTTTACAGTCCAATACAGCAATAGGGAGTCGGATTGATGAATGAGGGAATGACCAAAAGGAACCTTGATATTTTTAAAGCACTCTGAATTGTATACATAATGATCGAATTAAATTTTCGAATTGAAAATTTTGTCCGCGATGCTCTACGTCGTTTATGTCTTGTTGATGTCGTTGGAAAGTATTTATAGGTCTCCTTGTTTTTGATGGTCTGAAAATCGCAGATATTGGCAGACCTGTCATTAATTCGATTATAAATTCTGAATAATAAAAGAAAAATAATAAATGAGTACAATTAAGAATATTCTTTTCTGATCATGAGACTGATCCATAATCAAATATATATTATGTTAAAATACTCACTTAAATAACAAGAGACATAAATTGTGACGAATAGAATCATCATCATTTGTATGAGTGGCCGAAGGCAGTAAAATATTTGTATCAAACAAATGTCTAATTACGAAAAAGAGATACCGGTAGATGAGATACAATTTTATGTTATACTTGATGTAATAATTTTTATTTGAAAACTACGAACCTGTGACAACTGCAATCATGTTTTTTTTTTTGA